GTTTAGTCCAGGAAATATTGAGCCTCAACGAGAAAATGCAAGCCAACATAAAATTCAATATTTCCTAAGTATAATGAATTTACTAAATTACTTTTAACTGCGCAGATAAACTAATAATAATAATTTTAAGAATTCACATATACCAGACTCAGTATCTATCTATCTATATATATATATATATATATATATATATATATATATATATATATATATATTTCTATGATAAAGAAGAAATAGGAAAAATGTTTCACTTTTCTTATAGCTTCATCAGAGAATGAGATTTTGTGTGTTGTTGGATTTTCATTTAATAATATTGAAACAGTTTAAATTGGATTCCGTTCCATATTGGATCTCTATTAGATTAATTATTTATTACAAAGATTTAAAACCTCTAACCTTATAGTTAAAAATAATAATTCACCTTGTAGAACAAAATTAAATAGGGCAAATATTATTTACGAATTTAAATGCCCATTAAGGAATTGTATTCCTGATCAATCAAAATTCGTAAATAATTATATAGGCCACACTGCAACATGTTTGACACGCAGACTCACTCTAAACCTTTCTGATCCTAGCTCAATTAGATCTCATTTAAATAATCATGGAGACCTACCGGACACTATTCGTAACATACTTGCTGACAACACTAATATAATAGTATCATCTACAAACAAACCAACACTTAATAATATCAAATATGAACATGGACACAATATATTGACCGTGTTTAGAAAAATGAAAACATTTTATAAAACATAGAAACAATTTCTTATTTAACAGGTAAAATATTTAATCCTTGAAAATGGCTAAATGTATAGCCGAAAGCGCTCGGATAAAAAGAACATTCGGACAGTTTTTATATAATTTATCATCTAAAAAGAAAAAAAATTATTAGATCACATGAGAAATTGTATAAAAAAAAACTAAATAAAAGCACCTTGTCTGTCGTATTCAATGAAATATGCATGAAAGAATGATAGCTGCCTAAATACACATAGATAGATAGATAGATAGATAGATAGATAGATAGATAGATAGAAAAATATAAAGCAAATCGAAATATTCTTTAATTGCCATAGTAAAAAAACGCTCTAACTTAAGAAAAAACTTTCAAAAATTCAACCTGCACGCTCCACAAATTTGTATCTGTTATCAATAACACACTTCAAAAAGCATATTTCGATTTGCTTTATATTTTTTCGCCTCGGATGCTTCCTGAATTTTACCAAAAAGAAAATAGTTTCCATGCCTGATGATGACCGGAGAATCCGTCGAAAGTACCTGTATATTTAAGGAAGACCTAATTGTCAATTAGAAAAAAAAAACATAACATTCATCAAGAGGTTAGTGGGTTAATGTATTTTTAAATTTTAGTTAGCGAAGTGAATTCTCCATTTTATCTCATTAACTTTATATTCATTTTAGCTGATAACATTAAAGAAATAGAGACACTTAAGACCACATTTGAGAAAAACTCCATCCTTAATTTTACATATGAACTTAGCCAAAAAAACAAACTACCATTCTTAGATATCCTCGTTGAACACAACAATAACACTTTCATTACATCATTATACAAAAAACCCACCAGCAAAAACTCGTGCCACCTTAATTTCAAAAGCGAATGCCCACTTAGGTACAAAATAGCTGTAATAAAAAACTTTCTAAATAGAGCCCACCAGAACTCATCCTCACGACTACTCTTTCTCAAAGAACTTAACAACGTTAAACAAACACTAATTAACAACGGTTTCCCTAACTACCTTATAGACCAACAAATTAGAATATTCCTCCCCAAAGCAAGTAATAATGATAGCGAACACACAACTAAAAATCACATACACATTTATTACAAAAACCAAATGCATATTAATTACAAACAAGATGAATCTTCTCTTAGACATATTATAAAGAAATATACTACTCCTATTGATCCGAATAAATAAATCAAACTTATTATCTATTATAAAAAATTTAAGACGGCCAACCTTATCCTCAAAAATAACAACACACCAACGAAGTCAAAATTACAAAGAACGAACATTATCTATGAGTTCAAATGCCCTTTAAGGAACTGCGTTCCTCACCAAACCGGACTCATAAATAATTACATCGGCTACACAACCACATGTTTATCCAGACGTCTTACATTACACCTATCTGATCACAGTTCCATCAGAACACATTTAAACACACACTCAGATTTACCCGACACTATTAGGAACATACTAGTAGAAAACACAAATATATTAACTGCATCCACTTGCAAAAAAGACTAAAAATAATGGAAGCTCTAATAATAAAAAAAAAAAAAAGCCAACTCTTAACAATATTAACTATGAACAAAGCCATAATGTGCTAACCGTATTCGGAAACTAAAAACATCACTACCACACACTGAACATACACAGAACGCACACACTCTACTAAGCTGATAATTGAACCATCCTTGATAATGGCTAAAGGTATAGCCGAAAGCTCTCGGAAATACAGAACATTCGGACAGTTCTTACACACTCTTTGTCCAGAAAAGAAAGCTCTTGTCAGAACACAAGAAAATTAAATAAAAGCTCAACCGTAGTACCTTGTCTGTCGTTTTTTAAACAAACATATATATATATATATATATATATATATATATATATATATAATTGCGTATTATATAAGTTTCGTTAAATAAAACTAATAAGGTACTGTGATAATTTTTTTTTATTTAAGTTTTTATGTGCTTTTATATTTATTCCGACATAAATTATGTAGAAATTTTCTTTTGGCTATTCTTTTAGCCGTTTTATTGTTACTTCTAACTGGATGTATGGATTTCTTTATATGTATCTAGAATTACAGGAATTCTTTTATTTTACAAACACGGACAACATATTTTGGCCGTATTCATACTTGATTTTTTTTTTTTATTAATGCTGATTCCATTATTGTTAGCCTTTTTTAGATGGGGTTGAAGCTATTATATATGTATTCTCAAGTTTGGTATTTGTTTATGTATATTTAAATGAGATCTTAAATATATATATATATATATATATATATATATATATATATATATATAGTAATAGTAATAATCTTATAAATATAAGAAATTATACTCGTCCGGAAAACATTGGGTACTTTGATATGTAATTAAACAGACCAAGGGGAAAAAGGTACCAAAAAAGAGCAAAAACACGTACGTCAGCCGAAGACAATCGTCTAGCATCCAAGTTCCAAGTTCAAAGAAAAAAAAACGATACGAGTAAGTAAAATAACTAAGTAAAGTAGAGCAAACCTAATTAAACCTAAAGAGCCAGACAAACCTACCAAGGTTTCACCTACGCGGGTCGTCAGGGAACAACTGGCCAGTGTTCCCTGACAATATATGGTGGACTGTCGTATTCTACGTATGAGTGTCAAGCAGCTCAGTTCCTAGGAACCGACAGCCAGACACTTTTTGAAGGGCCACAAGGACCCCAAAGGGCCCTCTTCAGGTTTTGAATTCAGAGTTTTTTTCAAGGCAACTGGTTTAGGAGAACATGTCTGTCCTGCTATTTACCCATAGCTGGAGAGAGGGTAAGAGGATTCATAACTTTTCCCAAGGGTATTAGCACGTAAGTGAATGTAATGGATTCCACTGGAATTCGAACTCGGCTTTCCAATTCCTGAATCCTTTATCCACTACTTCACAATCCCTCTATCTCACACACACACACACACACACACACACACACACACACACACACACACGCACACATACACATATGACGCCACACATTATGAAATGGACAAAATCCGACAATTATTTTAAGACATTTTTATGTTTAAAATAAATATCCGACTTTATTCATAATGTGTGACATTTGGATACGCATAATTTGGATATTCATAATGTGTGACATTTGGATACGCATCGAGCAGATATGAATGTACGTGAGAAAATCATGGAAAATTGTAGTTTAAAAAACAATAAAATCGACCTTGTTAACCGAAACGCTCCTCTGTGGTGAACTTGATAAAAGCACGTCAGGCTATATGACGGTTCCGTATAGGATACAGGTTGCGTATAAATTCCTCTTTGGAGGGATTTTCAACGCAGGCTTATCATCTCTCAGTTGCGTCTCTTTCTTTGGACAGAGTGCGCTCAGGGGCTTCTCTGTCCAAGGACAGAGGGGCAACTGAGTTAATTATACTGAAAGATACCAAGCCCTGGGGAACAGCTTCCCGAGGGCGCGCCTTCCCATTGCACTAGAGGGAGGGATCGGTGTTCTCACCGAGGCCAGCGCAACCGACGGTTACGGCAGCTGAGGGCAATTTTTGACCTTCTCCCGAGCGTACGCGCTCGGGTCCCCACCTAAAAAAGACCTTGTGTCACATCTCATCCAAGTGGGGGCAAGGAGTTAATACTGTGTATAGGATACAGGTTCAATTCCTGTCGGAGGACGCATATTTTCTGTAACAATTTCTCGGACATTCAGGCTGGTAAATGTTGTTAATACTGTTTATTATAAACAGAGTATTTACTTAAATATCTTTATCTGTAAAAAAATTTATAAAGATATATATATATATATATATATATATATATATATATATATATATATATATATATATCATAAGATTTTGCGGTAAAAAAGGGCGTTTTATATACCGACAAAATGCAGTAGTTAAACCGAAACTAGCAAAGAATCGGAAATAGGTTGCCAAAATTTTACTTAATTTTAATATGTCTGTCAAAACATGAAGAATATGCACAGAATTACTTGTTATTTATGAATCAAAGGATATCGTCTGCGATTTAAGACGTAGAATTCGTAGAATTCAAAAACGAAAGAATAGCGAAGGTCCAATTGAACCAAGAATAAACTCCTTGGCAGCTATTTATTCACCAAAACCAAATTCTGCACACAATTGCATTTGGGGAGCACCCGTTGTGAATTGGAATTAATTGCACTGGCTTGGAAAACTAACACGCTAATAGATGAAACTTTAAACTAGAGGCGAGGATCATGTATTTCTCTGTGGAAATGGTAAATATTTATTCTAGTAATTTAAGGCAAATCACTCACAGACTGGACGGTATTTATGCTATGAGGGTATCGCGGATTTGGCATATCTATTTTAGAAATTCTTGATAACTTACACAAGTCTAACTTTCGTCTATGCATTGGATATTTCTGTCACATGTGATCTAGAGCTTCTGCTATGTACTTAGAGATTCTTTATAAAATCCTAAGAAGAATCTGAAATGTTATCCGCTCATATATGTGATTTCTGCATCTACCATTCTAAAGTAGTTTCCCTGTACCTATTCTATAAATATAACCAGAAAAATTCTTCTGATGAACTTTTCTCTCTGATACCTAGAATTTAAGCTTACTACTAGATTGGCAGCAAAGTCTCAACATTTCACAGTTCAAATGACTAGATCTAACCGTAGGTTCTATGCTAACAGATTCTTCTCTAAAACTTCACACTTGTGGAACTTTCTTTCGGCTTGTTGTTTCCCGCAGTTGGTTGTCAATTCTTTCTGTGGTAGACAGGTTGCCATCCAAGGCTATAGAAACCGGTCTGCCCTGCTATTTACCCAAAACTCAGGGGAAAAGAAGAAGATTCTTACTTTTCCCAAAGGTATTAGCATGTAAGTGAATTTAATGGATTCGACTTGAATCCTCAATCCTATTCATTACTCTACCTTCATATACCCCCCAGAAATACCTTCCACATAATTCTAACTCATTCACTAGATTAAGACAGCATTGCCACTCTTGTCGGGTGGGGAATATTTCTGGGAGGTATATTTGGGTGGTATTTCTGTCGCGTCCTCTAGAATCAAAACTCTTAATTACAAAAAATGTACAGCGTCTAAAAATTTCTATATAAAGTTTGACCCAACACCATGTACGAGAACTTCTCAAAGTAAAAGGTCACTCTTAAAATGTCGGGTTTGTGATATGTATGAAAGAAGAGATGGTAAAGAGGATAGACTACCATTGACGCTTGACTTGAAGTTAGGTTTGCAATGACAAAGGAAGCAACCACCCGGGAGTTTGTCCCACAGAAGTAGTTGTTCTTGGGAAGAAACTTAAACTTTCTTCGGACATTTGGAACACAGATGAAGTAAGGCTTCTTCGACTCCGTGAAAGCTGAATGCCGTGTCCAAATTGTAATAATATTATATATTATATAACTAAAGGATGGATTTAACTTGAACGTTTACCATATAAATAGTGTTAGAGAAACGATGAGAATGCAACTTTGCGTCTGTGGAGCAAGTGGCGATACAATGGAAAATATGTCTTCCCACAGAAGATCGACTAAACGATTTTGCACTTTGACAATTAGATGAACAATATTATTAACTTAATATTGATACAGCATATTAATTAGTTGTCCACAGGTCATTGCTTTTAATTACTTCTACACATCTCAGACCGCATGTCTTCCCTAATCTAACACATTGGTGTGGCTTGATTCTAAACCATTCTTCCGTTGTACAGAGCAGTGATTACACTAACTCATTTTACTCTAACATTAACAACGATGGCTTTCAAAGATTCTTACTATTTTTTTTTACTATTATTGAGTCAATTGCTTCTTCCACCGCGTGGAAAGTTGGCTCTCTGTGCCGCACCAGGAAATTTTTCTCCCCGGAATCGATACTTCAAATATACAAAACAACCATTCGCCCTTGCATGGAGTATTGCTGGCATATATGGTCTGGGGCACCTTCTGTTTACCTCGGAGTTCTTGACAAAATCCAGAGACGGATATATAATATAATTGGCCCTGATCTGGCATCTCGTCTACAGTCGCTCTCTCACAGACGCGCCGTCGCCTCTCTCTGTCTTTTCTACAAATACTTTCATGGTAATTGCTCCGATGAGCTGCTTTCACTGGTTCCCAGACTCCATGAATTCAAGCTCCCTACGAGGCTGGCATCGCGCTCCCACCCTTACACTGTAGAAACTTTTAAATGTAGCCGTCTCTTCTACTCCAATAGCTTCATACCTCGCACCTGTCACCTGTGGGACACCCTTCCCAATTACTGTTTCCCTGAGAGCTATAATCTCCAACTATTCAAATGTCATGTCAATCGACATCTCCAGTTACCTTGATCTACCCACTATCCCTCTCTTCATCCTTTCTTCTATCACTCCTATCTGCACTCGCTCCAAATCTTCTGCAACCCCCTGCATTCTAGTGGCTTCACGCCTTGCTCGGGGCGTAATGCTTAAAAAAAAATTAATCATCACAAAGCTAAAGACACACTCAATGTAGTGAGTTACTGAAAGGGTAAAGGCATAAGGGATGACGAAGACGTGCATGTTATAGGGACAGGTAGGTCAGCTGATTCTCGACTTGAAGAGGTTAAAATTGTAGTGGTCAGAGAAACATTCTCTCGGAAGTGACGTTTCTCACACTTTCCGAGATGAAAACGAAAGGAATCGTGGTTATTTGACGTCGTATGACTGGTCCTAGCTGAGAAGGCGTGAACTTTAATAATGTTCACCCGATAAAAGGCAGAAAAGCAACTCAAGGTAAAATGTTACTGTGTGAATTCTATTGGCATGAGAATTTTTTTTTTTTAAGCATTTCACCCAAAGCAAGGCGAGAAGCCACTAGGATGCAAGGGGTTACAGAAAATTTAGAGCAAGATCAGATAGGAGTGATAGAAGAAAGGATGAGGAGGAGGGTAGTGGATAGATCAAGGCAACTGGAGATGTCGATTGACATTACACTTGAATAGCTGGAGATTATAGCTCTCAGGGAAACTGGAATAGGGAAGGGAGTTCCACAGGCGAGAGGTGCTAGACATGAAGCTATTGGAGTAAAAGAGACGGCTACATTTAACAGTTTCCACGGTGAAGGAGTGAGAGCGGGATTCCAGCCTCGTAGGGCGCTTGAATTCATGACGTCTGGGAACCAGCGAATGCAGCTCCTAGGAGCAATTGCCATGAAAGTATTTGTAAAAAAAGACAGAGAGAGGTGACGGTGCGTCTGTGAGAAAGTGACTGTAGACGAGATGCCAGAGTAGGGCCAACTACATTGCATATCCGCCTCTGGAGCCTATCAAGAACCCCTAGGCAAACAGAAGGGGCACCAGACCATATATGGCAGCAATACTCCATGCAAGGGCGAATTGTTAATTTGTAGATCTACAAATAAAAAGAAGGTAAGTTTTAGGGGTTATGAAAGAAAGACAACAGCTAACTGTAAATTTGAAGAGGTCAATATTTAATTTGTGAATAGCATTTCAAAGTGCCATGCGTCTTCTGGATGACTCAGTTATTTCTCTTTAACTCTCGAAGTTTTGGGTCATCACTGTTGTGGCCTGGTATTGAACTCACAACTTTTTGGGTCTAGTCACTGGATGTAACCAACGTTTATATGCACTAGGCCAGGTGTCTTTGAGTTAAAAGGTAGTAACTGGGACATCCGACAGAGGCATGGCAAGTGAAACTAGAACAATATACTCCTGTAAACGAAATAAAGGGCTCGATTTTGAAAGAAAGACAACAGCTAACTGTAAATTTAAAGAGGTCAATATTTAATTTCTGAATAACATTTAAGTGTTAACTAGGGTACGTTAGAACAGGGGATACGTTAGAACAGGAGGTACGGTGGAGTAATGGATAGCCGCTGGTATTGAGGAATCAGAGAGGCGAGTTCGAATTCCAGTCGAATCCTTGACATTTACTGATGTGGTAGTACCCTTGGGAAAGGTATGAATCCTTTTCTTCTCCCTCCAGCTATGGATAAATAGCAAGACAGACTGGGTTCTATAACCTTGGATGGCAACTGGTCTACTACAGAAAGAAATGGCAACCTACAGCGGGAAAAAATCTGCCTCGTCAGTCATATATCGAAAGATACATGATCGCCTAAGCGTATATTACGCATGGCACATAACTGACTGAATGAGGAATCGGAGAGACGAGTTCGAATTCCAGTTTAATTAATTACATCCACTTCCGTGCTAATACCCTTGGGAAAGGTATGAATCCTTTTCTTCTCCCTCCAGCTATAGGTAACTAGCAGGACAGATCGGGTTCTATAGCCTTGAATGGCAACTGGTCTACCGTAGAAAGAAATGGCAGCGTAATAGGGGAAAAGAAATCTGCCTCGTCAGTCATATATCCAAATATACATGATCGCCTTAGCGTTTACCACGCATGGTACATAACTGAATGTCTGACGTGCTAATACCCCTAGGAAAAGTATGAATCCTCCTCTTCTCGCCCCACCTATGGGTAAATAGCAGAACAGACCGGGTTCTATAGCTTTTGATGGCAACTGGTCTACCTTAGAAAGAAATGGAAACCTACTGCGAGAAAAAATAAATATGCCACGTCAGTCATGTATTGAAAGATACATGATCGCCTAAGCGTGTATCCCGCATGGCACACAACTGACTGAAAAAGAAATCGAAAAGCCGAATTAGAATTCCAGTCGAATCCATTACATTCACTTACGCGCTAATACCCTTAGGAAAGGTATGAATCCTATTCTTCTCCCTCCAGCTATAGGTAAATAACAGGACAGATCGGGTTCTATAGCCTTGGATGGCAACTGGTTTACCGTAGAAAGAAATGGCAACCTACCACAGGAAAAGAAATCTGCCTCTTCTGTCATATATCCAAAGATACACAATCGCCTGGAACATAACTGACTGACTGACTGACGTTAGAAGTACAATATGCAAGTTGACTTTAGAAAGAACCTGAAATCGAATCCTAAACAGCAAACAAGACATATATTCCTACTCCTGTTCAAAAATATGGGAAGAATGAAAGAATGTAGCTTATCTGAATATTTGCCATTTCGTCTATAGGAAAGGAATCGCAGTGTTTAAAAAACAATTCATCACCAACAAGGCCGTGTAATCGCTTTTGGATTTGAAGGCAAAGACGTGGAAGCACTAGCACCTGATGTGTCAAAGATACATCATTCATGGTCTGATCTGACTTTTTTAAAAGTAGAGCAGGGTGTTGGTATTTGCTGGAAAGATACCAGGAACTGATCTATGTTCTAGCATCATTTTGCGATGGTACGAATATATAAATTTCCTTTTGAGGTCTGGTGTTCGCTTCAACCAAATAGATGCACAAGGCAATCAGATTTATTACGAGAACGACCGCGCATTAAGACTAAATAAAATTTACGGTTTGTTTGCTTATGATTAAACGTGACCAGTTTTGTCATAGGGGTATTCAATGATGCAACACAGTCTTCTCCCCACCACATCTGAGAGCTTTTTTAAGCGTGGGGATTAGCTGTCAGTCTTTGTGAATTTAGTTCTTTGGAAGGTGTAACTATACACCGTGGTATTATCTCCATAGATATTTACTCGAAATTTCCGGGATCGAGTTCTTGACTTTGGAAGGACTATTCCCTCACCATTATATTTTAAGCTCTGCTGAAGAATTCTATAGTTTCTTCCATAAGAAAACGGATATTAATGTGCATAAAAGAGGCCCAGAAACAGGCGATGATTTCAGACAACAAAAATATATCCCTCAATTTTCTTCTTCTATGTGCCGTGTTTCTTCAGGACATGCGCAATCATGACACTCCACAGCTTACTATCATTTATAGATCTTCATGACGTTTATTTTTTTTCCCATTACTCCAATCTCAATTGTGGCATCCATTCACACAAGCTCGTCAGGTAGGACGCCCCATCCCTTCCTCTTTCTCTTTTGCTTTCGATATGTCCTGTGAGTTTCAAATTCTCCAAGCCTTGCTTCCTTATTTTGCGTCCAAGTAATCTCCTTGTCTCTTTCTGATTCTAAGTGTTTTTTCGTTTCCATTTTTTCTGAAGACTTCGTATTCCACTGGTGAAATGTAAATTTCATTTGAGTTTCTTCCAACGATCCGCTGCTCTGTGCAGCCAACTGCCAAGAAGGTGCTTCTACGATCAATACAATCTTAACCTGAGTTAACCGTATATCTTCCTCGCACATATAAAATCGAAAGAAGAATCTGCAATGTCATTGGTCTTGACCTGGCATCCCATTTTCAGTTACTTCCCGTCGCCGTAACGAAACTTCCCTGGGCCTTTTCTATAAACATTTCTATGGTAAGTGTTTTGATGTGTTTTGTTCTTTGATGGCTCAACCTTATGTATTTAAGTACAGTACTAGATTGGCAGCTAGGTCTCATAATTTATAATTGAAATTACTAGATGCATCCATAAGATCTATGCTAAGAGTTTATTCTCTTGCACTTCTCACTTGAAGACTTCTTTTCCAGCTTCTTGCTTCCCAGATAACTTTGATCTTCAAGAAATTAAATGCAATGTCTCTTCTCCTTAATCTATCTTCTTTTATTGTCTTCACTCTTTATTATTTTTTCTCATATTCTGTAATACTCAGTAACCCTTTGCTTCTTAGTACAGAACAATCTCCGTTCTCGAACCACTCGCATGTCGGACAAATCGGTTTTCGAACAGAATATTCGAGATGAAAATGCTTCAGTTATCAAACAAAATTTTGGTTCTCGAACGACATTGCCAAACCAAGTCGAATCGATTTAACCCGAACGGAATTATTTCTTAGTCGACCGCCATGTTGTATACATTCCTGTGTTGTGCTGTGCTTTTCTTTTCCAATTTTATTGTACTGTGCCTTTTTTTCTCTTCATTATTTCCCAGTCATAGCCCCAAAGAAAACTAGCAGTGATACCGGTAAAGCAAAAAGAAAAGTTAAGAATAAACAATTGTTGATATTAGCTCTTCTTATTCAGTTTCATATGGCAAAATCAACGATCTATACTATTCTTATAAATAAAGAGACGATAATGCTTTTCCTTTTGCAAACAAAAACATCTCTTTCCTTCCCTTTCCACTTACGTCATCAACTCTCCTACATGCAGGTACGGTAAAATTTGAGTGTTCCTGTATATTTTATCTGTTTAGTATTGGGTTTATTTATTTCTTTATTAGATTTAAAAGATTTTCATTAGTTTTGTGTATAAACTTGTGCACAAATTACTGTTGTAAAAAGTTAAGCAATCGCCTTGGGATTAATCCATTTTACATTGATTCCTATTGGAAAAATAGTTTCGGTATACGAACATCTCGGGTTACAAACGGGCATCAGAACTAATTAAATTCGTGAACCGAGGTACCACTGTAAATTTATTGCCTTGGTTGGGGGCGAAATGATTTTTAAAAATATCGGGATAAGTTGTGCCACTTACTCTGTAACACTCCACCTCGAGTGGCTCTCGGTTCTTGTACAGGGGGAATATCAGTGTAGAAAAAAGTTTTTTTTACACTTATCTGCTTTGTCCATTGAATTCTCAAGATACTTTCTATAGAACTACATTTCTGTTGTCGCCACTTCATCTACGAGGAACTGTCCAGAATTCACTGTCGTATAGGAAGATTGATATTAAATAGCTGTTCAACAGTTCTTTGAGAAACCTGTGTTTTGAACGTTGTTTATAGATTCAAAGGCGTTTTTTTTGTTTTTTTTTTGCTATTCTAGTGCAACTTCGGATTTCGTTGTCACATTTTCAGTCCTCTGTTAAGACATCTTTTTAATTGATCTTACACAGAATCGCATTAACGCTGGAGATTCAAAGATTTTTTTGCCAAGAACGTTTGTTGTATTTCCTTCTTCAAGTTCCTTTTTTTCTTTTATAGCCTTCATACTTCTGTTTTTCTTTCCTTCTTCTCTAATTTCACCTTTCCTTCATTTCTTTCTTCCCTTTTTTCTTTTCTCTCTATCCATTTCTTCCTTCTTTCAGGAAATCTTTCTTTTTTTTACCACCCATCATTTTTTCATCTTTTCCTTCTTCCTTCTTTTCTTTCTTTTCTTCTCACCTCCTTTCTTTCCATCTTCGTTACTTTCTTTTTATTATTGCTTTCCCTTCTTCCCTTATTCTATTGTTCTTTCCTAGTATATTTCATTTTTTTCATTATTTCCTTCTTTCATTTTTCTTCCTACTTTATTTCCTTTCTTCCTTCTTTTCTTCCTTTTTAACATTTCTTTCTTTCCTTTTTCTCTTCCTTCTTTCTTTCTTCATTATTTCCTTCTTCGATTTTTTCTTCCTACTTTAATTCCTTCTTTCCTTTCTTTCTTCGGTTCTTCCTTTTTTTCTGTTCTTTTTCTTTCTTTCTTTCTTTCTTTCTTTCTTTCTTTCTTCATTTCTTTAATTTCTTTTTCTTTAAGTTCCCCCACCCTTTTCTTCCTGCTTTCCATTTTACTTCTTTTTCCTCTTTTCTTTCCCTCCTTTCCTTCCCTCTTTCTTTCTTCTTTTTTTCTTTCATTTCCTTTCCAGACATTTTTTTTTCTTTTTCCCTTCCATCTTTTCTTGTTACATTTTTCTTTCTTATCTTCTTTCGTTCATTTGTTCCTTCTCTCATTCTTTCTTTCTTCTTCCATTCTCACTTTTTTCCATCCATTTACGTTCATTATTTCTTCTTTCGTTCATTATTCTTTACTCTATTTTACTTACCTTTCTTGCTTCATCTTCATTTTTTCTTTTCTTTCTAATTTCGCCTTGGCATTTCATTATTTTTTCCGTCAATTTTTCTTTCTTTCTTTCTTTCTTTCTTTTCTTTCTTTCCTTCCCTTTCATTTCTTCTTTCATTCCAGATTTCGATTTTTCTTTTTCATTTGCCTTCTTCCTTCTCTTTGCTTCTTTATTCTACCTGTTTATTCTGTCTTTCTTTTTTCATTCTTCTCTCTTTCTTTTTTTCTACGTTTGCTTTCTTTCCTGCCATTTCATTCTTCCTTGTTTCCCTCGAATCTTTTTGTTCCGTCTTTTCTTCTTCCCTATATTTCCTCTTATTGATTCTTTTTCTTGCCTGATTCATACTTCTTCCTCTTTCCGTTTATTCATTCTCCATTCTTTCTTTCTCTTCCTTTCCGGACTTCCTTTCAGCTATCTTTCTTCTTTTTTTTCCTCATCCTTTTCTTTTCTTCTTTCCTGTTTATCCTCTTCTTTAGCTTTCTTTCTTTCTTTTTCCTTCCATAGTTCCTTTTTTTCATTCTTTCTCACCCATATTCCGCCGTTCTTTCTTTTTATTTTTATTCTATCTTCCTTTTTTCTTTCTTTCTTTCCTTCTTTAATCTTTTCCTTCCTCCCTTTCTCTCCTCTTTTTTTTTTATCCCCTTTCTTCTTTTTCCCTCTCAGCTTTTCTTTTTGCATTCTGTTTCCATTCCTTCCTTCTTTCCTTCCTTCCTCCCTTCCTTCTGCTTTGCTTCATTTTTTATTCTATTCTTTCTTTTTCTTTCTTTTTCTTTCCTTCTGCTTTGTTTCCTTTCTCATATTCTTCTTTCTTTCTTTCTTTCTTTTTTCTACCATTTTCCTTACACCCATCTTTCCTTCTTTCCTCAATAATTTATCCTTCCTTTTTTCTAACTCTTCTTTTCTTTCTTTCTTTTTTTCTTTCTTTCCTTCCCTCCTTCCTTCTTTCGGTTTTGCTTCCTTTCTCATTCTCTTCTTTCTTTCTTTCTTTCTTTTATCTTTCTCCCAAATTCCCTATTATACTCATCTTTCCTTCTTACCTCAATCCTTTCTCCTTCCTTCTTTCTAACTCTCCCTTTCTTTCTTTCCATCTTACCTTTTCTTCCTTCTTTGCCACCCCCTTGATTCTTTTATTATTTTTCTTTTTTTCTCCTTCCTCTTTTCCTTCCTTCAAAGTGTCTTATTCCTCTCCTTTATTGTTACTTTTGAACACCGCTGAGAAATAACAACACCCCTTGTCTCACGTTCAAATATATTACATCACGTCTAGGTCTTTTGCCTCTAAGGTGCAAAATTAACTATTTAAGGTAAGTCCCTGAGGGTCCGTCTCCCCAAACAATAACTCGCCTTTGGAAGATGGCTAAGCGTAATCTTTGATACTTCAGGCGTCTCCAAAAGAAGATATGCCGAGTCGAATGGACATTTTCAGGTCTCCAGTCCCATATAGCCGTGGCACACCTACTTTAAATTCGGACAAATGCTTCATTGCGTTCGAATTGGCTTTCCAATAAATATCACCACTTGATAAATTCTTTTTTAATCATTTCACCCGAAGCAAAACAATAAAACCACTAAGACTCAAGAGGATATTGGGTGTGAAAATATATGAGAGCAAGTAAACATTTTGAAGTAGAGAACAATAGAATAACAGTAATTATTTTCACAACAGATAACGGTTGAAATCGCTTATAGTCCCGCGCACACTTCTCCATCTTTTGCACAGAAGTAGAGGTTTATCCCTCGTTTCCTGTTTAGGAATTGGTTTTCGATTCCTTCTAACGTCTTTTTTTTATTCTCTTGCGTCTTAGTCGCTTTATCGTCTTGTTTGGGGTGAATTGATTTAAAGCAATTGAATTTATGAAGAACAAGATGATAGGGAATAAACAAACATTTTGGGTCCTATCACTGGATCTAACCAAAGCTTTTATCCACTGTGCCACGTGTCCTTGAGAGTGTGAGTTCAATACCTGGTTAAGGCGGTGGAGAACTTTCAGAGGGAAAATTAACAGGAGAAAACTGATAACTGACATCCATTAGATGTGGAACTAGACAACTCTACGCTAGTGAGCGAGATAAAGGGTTCAGTTCGACATTCCAACTACCTGAAGAAGACAGGACGTTGTAATAAATATGGCGACAAAGATGAGGACAGTAGTCCGAATAATGTAAATAGTGTACATAATACATCATCTCAGAAATATAGACAGATTCTGAAAGGCCGAAACGTTGTAATAAATATGGCAACAATGAAGAGGACACTAGTCCGAATAATGTAAATAGTGTACATAATACATCATCTCAGAAATATAGACAGATACGGAAAGGCTGAAACGTTGTGATAAATATGGCGACAAATATGAAGACAATAGTCCGAATAATGTAAATAGTGTATATAATACCTCATCTCTGAAATATAGACAGATACGGAAAGGCTGAAACGTTGTGATAAATATGGCGACAAATATGAAGACAATAGTCCGAATAATGTAAATAGTGTACATAATACCTCATCTCAGAAATATAGACAGGTTCTGAAAGGCCGAAACGTTGTAATAAATATGGCAACAATGAAGAGGAGACTAGTCCGAATAATGTAAATAGTGTACATAATACCTCATCTCAGAAATATAGACAGATACGGAAAGGCTGAAACATTGTGATAAATATGGCGACAAATATGAAGACAATAGTCCGAATAATGTAAATAGAGTACATAATACCTCATCTCAGAAATATAGACAGATACGGAAAGGCTGAAACGTTGTGATAAATATGGCGACAATTATGAAGACAATAGTCCGAATAATGTAAATAGTGTACCTCTAAATATATAGCAGGAGAACCAGACCAACAAGGATGAATGGTAGACACATTAATGTGTCAGATTCTGTCGGGAAAAATGGTCAAGAACAATGCCGGAAATACTGCGTTTCGTTCATCTTAAAAGACTAAGGACATATCTGCATGTGTTGCATATAAGCATTTCCTTTTATTTTTATGTTGGCTCAATTAAGCTCTGGCAGAAAATGAGTATTTATATCAGAATACAATCAAGCTTATGCCCACATCATGTTGAAAGAACAGTTCCCGTATGGTTACCGAATTTAAGCAGCGTCAAACCTGCTCAGTAAGATGGTCGCTGGATAATACTAAGTTCTGTAAGCTTAAATGTGCGGGCGAGGTTATTAACATACAGCCATATTTTTTTAAGCATTTCATCCCGATCAAGGCAGGAGTGCCACTAGCACACAAAAGGTTACAGAAAGCGGGAGCAAGAGTAAAGAGGCGTGATAGAGGAAAGGATGAAGAGAAAGCCAGGGAATAGATCAAGGCATCTGGAGATATCGATTAACATTTCATTTAAATATTTGGAGATTATAGCTACTGGGAAAGCAAGTAAGAGGAAGGGAGTTTCCCAGACGGGAAGTGCAAGACATGAAGCTATTGGAGTAGAAGAGACAGCTGCATTTAACAGTTTCGACAGTGAAAGTGTGGGACTAAGATGCCAACCTAGTAGCACCTTTAAATTCATGCAGTTTCGGAACCAGCGAAAGTAGCTCGTCGGAGCAGTTACCGTGAAAGTATTTGTAGAAAAGACAGAGGGAAGCGACGATACGTCCGTGATAGCGACTGTAGACATGATGCCAGATCAGGATGTATCATATTGCTTATCCCTCTCTGGATTTAAATATTTGGAGATTATCGAGGACCTTAAAACGAACAGCGGAGCTACCAGACAATATATGGAAGCAGTATTCCATGCAAGGGCGAATGGTTGATTTATAGATATCACGTTGAAACGTCGTTTGTATACGATCACCAAAGATAAGCAATATCGAGCCTGGTCACCACCTAGATGAGTGACCGCTTGTGGATACCAAGTGCTGTGGGTTTAGATGTGTGGTTGGTATAATGGGCTTACTGCCATATCACATTGAAAAACCGGTTTCCGTACAATCACCGAAGTTAAGCAACGTCGCGCCTGGTCAGTAAGACGGCGCCTGGTCAGTAAGACGGCGGCTATGCAATACCAGGTGCTATAAGCTTGTATATATAGGCATGATAACGAACATACGGTCATATAACGATTCGCATACAATCATCGAAGTTAAGCAATATCCAGCCTGGTCACCACCTATATGGGTGACTGTGGATACCAAGTGCAGGGAGTTTGGATGTGCGGTTGGTATAATGGGCTTACGGACGTATCATTAAAAAAAATCGGTTTCCGTACAAGCACAGAAGTTAAGCAACGTCCCGCCTGGTCAGTACCTCAATGGGCGGGCTTGGGGATATCAGGTGTTGCCAGCTTGGATGTGCGGGTGGGGTAATGAATATACAGCAATATCACGTTGAAACGCCGGTTTCTGTACGATTACCGAAGTTAAGCAACGTCTAGCCTGGTTAATAACAAGATGAGTGTCCGCTTTGGAATACCAGGTGCAACGAACTTGGATGTACTGTTGAGAAAATAGACTTACGGCCATATCACGTTGAAACACCAGCTTCCTTACAATCACGCAATTCATCTTTTCAGTTGAAATTTGTAAAATCTTATGTAGATGTTATTACTTTTTCCTGTATTGATTGGCATTTCATTCCTAACCTTTTCTTTGTAGTGTGGAATGTTAATATCTTGGTTATATCATTATTTTCTCTTCGTGTTACATATGTGATATAATAGAATATGCATACACCTGTGTTTCCCCTCACTGGAATATGATTGGCTGGTGTCCGTCATAAATACCGACGGACGTGTATGAGAGTGAGAAGAGTCTTAGTCTGAGAGTTAAGTCTATAACGACGCCCATTGGACTACGCCATTGATCTACACTTCTTACCTGCGACTACGACGCGTACCAGTCGATTACTGCTACCGTATTCTACTTGGTTATAATAGCCAAAACCACTTAGCTACTTCGTTCAAATATATGCCTTTCCGGGAGATATCAATCTGCTATCCATTTTAGTTGTTGCTGCTGTTGGTAGTCTTCAAGTCATATTGTTTCTGATATTTGATACATTTCTTCGTTTGTGATTCTGTAGCGCCAGTCCAGAACGTCCAAAAGAAGAATGATCTAATTAAAATCAACGAGCTGAAAGAACTGTGATTTACACGTTATGGATATTCAAATTTATAATATCGAGTTCTGATTTTAAAATTAATTTTGACGCAACACAGTCTTAATAGCAGGTTAGTGTATTAGTGTACTTTTTGTTTCTGCCTGACCTTGGGCGGACAGTTTTCGACCTTTGCTCAAAATAAAATCCAAGTTGAGTATCCATGTTTGAAGTTACATATATAGGCGCCGATCTCCGTTAATACTGTCTGGAGAGGCAAAGATAGGCTATTGGCTGAGGGAATCTCTAATACTAAGCGTTTTATACTGGCATTATGGATTTATACGCATGTATTATATATCTATATGTGTGTGTATGTGTGTGTGTGAGTGGGTGTGGGTGTGCGTGCGTGTGCATGTTTTTATGCTTCTACGCTTAGATTTTACAGCATGCTCACCGAAAGGAAGCAACGTTCAGTATGGTCAGTGACTAGATGGGTTACCGCTGTAGATTTGGATGTGCGGGTGGTGTAATGATAACAGCTAGGAAATGGAAAGAGCCAAATTCCACTTTCCGTGGGATCGTTGTATTCACTTTACGCGCCAATACCATTGGAAAAGTTATGAAACTACCTTTTCTCCCTCCAGGTATGGGTTAAGTAGTAGGACTTGTATCCATAAAACCATTATTATTTCAAAACAATTCTTACAATCTAAAAAATACTTGCTGGGTTTAAATGACCTGTAAAATTTGCGAAGCCGTAAAAATCTACGCATCGTTGTATGTGCAGAAACGCTATATTTTGCACATATCATTCAGGATGCCGAAGTGAGCTACCAAGTATCGAATTAGGCTAAAATTGGAAAGCCCGGATCTAGTAAATTTTAAATTAACTTGCTTTTCACTTGCATTATTTACATTATTTCGCCTGTTATATTCACAACGTTTCGGCCGCTGTACGGTCTGGCCTTCTTCAGATGATTGCTTCTAACCAAACCCTTTATTCCGTCCACCGAGGTCTTTTGTTCTAGTTCCACATACCACACCTCTTTCACACATCTCAGTTATTTCCCTTTAACTCAACTCTCCAACTTTTTGGTTCACCACTGCTGGGGCCTGGCATTGAACTCACAAAACCTTGAGTCTAGTCACTGGATCTAACCAACGTCATTATCCACTGGGCCATATGCCCATGAGGATATCTGTATACGCATTTCTAGGATTTATAAACATAATGTCTCAGTAGCCATTTTTTTTGTTTGTTTTTGTTTTTTTGATAGTGCTCATATTGCAATAATGTAAACAAAGCAAATAATCATAATACCTAATCTCAGAGATATAGATATATAACTTTCTTTTCACTCCGTTTATATTTTATCCGGAACCATAGAGCCGAGAGAACGCCAGGATCATCTTCTTTGGCCCCAATCTATGTATGTTTTTAAATGCAGAGTTGGCCTCTTTAAAACTTTTATTTCGTCTACCGAGGTCATTTGTTCTAGTTCTACGTGCCATGCCTCTTCCAGACGTCTCAGATATTTCCCTTTAACTCAACTCTCCAAGTTTTTGGTTCACCACTCATATTAAGCTCACAAGTCTTTGAGTCTAGTCACTGTATCTAACCAACGTCTTTATACACTGGGCGACGTGACCATGAGGATATCTGTATCAGTTTCTAGTCATAGCCAAAGAATTAACCCATAGAAGGGAGAATTGGCCCATGCCCGACTCCTGTAATTTGTCATGGTTTACCTACACTTAGTCATCGTGTTTAAGACGATAAACTACATCCGCGTCCTGGGTAAGACGATAAACTACGTCCCGAACAGGAGGTTTTGAGAAGCATGAAACCATCTCTTAATTGCTGTTGGTCTAACCTAACCCGGAGTGGTAGCACCTGTTAGGGTCCCAACTATGGTCAAATATTTAACCCCTAAACTGAGGCCAAAACACTATGAAAGTGTAAAAATAGGTTTTGATACCAGCAATAAATTTTGTGGGAAAAACAATTACCAGTAGTACATCATTATCAGCAATACATTGAGGAAAAAATTAAGTTTTCCTACTCCAAGTCTTGTTGTCAACCAAGCTCGATTTTTCGTACATTTTTACTGGTAGATGAAGGTCAGAACAGATCTGTTCATGCCTTTCCTAAAAGTATTTGCGAGAAAGTGAAGAAATCTACTGCAATTCGAACTCGGCTTGTCAATTTTGTGCGCCATACCTCTATCCAGAGAACTATCCACAAATATGTATTCTTCTACCCCTAGCTCAAAGAGGTTTAATTTATTCTAGAAGTAGCCCTCTCTAGCAAACCTAAAAGCAATTATCTTTTCCAGATCAGAGAAATTCGTGGTATTTCATATAGCGATTTTCCAAGCCTAGCTTAGATGCGACACAAGGCCAAATGTAGAGAGCACACAGTGAGGATCAAACTCACTACTCAGCTATAATTGTTCTGTCGAGACAAGCTTGCTAACCATTACACCGCATATATAAGAAAACGGGTTATCGGTTTTTGAATTTTCATTATTACTTTCTTTGTTTCTTTCTCTCTTTCTTTCTTTGTTTCTCTCCTTTCTTTCTTTCTTTGTTTCTCTCCTTTCTTTTTTTCTTTCTTTCTTTCTTTCTTTGTTTCCTTCTTTCTTTGTTCCTTCTTCTTTCTTTTTTCATTCTTTCTTTATTTCTTTCATTCTTTCTTTCTTTCTAGCTATCTTTCCTTCTTTCTTTCTTTTCTTTCTATCTATCTATCTATCTATCTATCTACCAAGCTACCTACCTATCTGACTATGCCTGTTCATTAGAGCAGGTCAATTTTCGAGCCGTGGCATTGCACTCAATTTGAAAGTTGGGGTTTGACATGATAAAAAATGACACAAAATAGTTTATTTCCAAGCAGTTACGGTTTTTTTGAGGAGACGAGTTTAAAAATTAAATTTAGGTTCGAAATCGTAGCGTTGCAATTTCATTCCGGTGATCAGTGAAAGCCTTAAAGCGCAGCCTTATAAAATTTATAATTTACTGAAGCTTTACAATTTGTGTATGGACAAGATGCAAGGCTTAAGCGCATTCTTACTAAATCATTATAGCATTACATAAGACCTTCATTTAATTCAAAGTGAAATTATACTGAACAATTTAGCTATATTATGATGTAATACGTTGTACAGTGCAGTAGCTTTAGTATGATTTTCAATAAACAATGAGAATTTAAAACATTTAAAAGATGTGGTTTGATAATTAAAAACGTTTAATATTTGTTTTCCAAATCGTTACCGTTTCTTTGGAAAAACGATTTTAAAAGATTAATTTTAGGTTAAGAATCGTAGCTTTGGAATTTCATTCTTATGATCAGTAAAAGCCTCATAGCATACCCTTATTAAATTTATAATTTTTCTGAAGCTTTATAAATTGTATACGGAGACGATGCATGGCAAAAGCACATTATTACTAAATCATTGTGTCATCGAATAAGATCTTCATTTAATTCAAAAGGAAATTATACTAAATGTTGTAACCTACAAAGGGTTACTGAATGGGGAATAACCAAAGCAGAGGTTGGAAATGTAATTGTAATCTTTATAACATCAACAAAATACATTACTCGCCAGCGGCGAGAAGTAGGTAAACCACTGCTAATGGTGAACTACTTAGACAGCACATTACTCGCCAGCGGGGTGGAGTAGGTAAACCACTGCTAACGGTGGACTACTTAGACAGCACATGAGCCACATTACTCGCCAGCGACGGCTACATTTAACAGTTTCGACAGTGAAAGGGTGAGAGCGAAATGCCAGCCTAGTAGAACGCTTAAATTCATGAAGTCTGGGAACCAGCGAAAGCAGCTCATCGGAGCAGTTACCATGAAAGTATTTGTAAAAAAGACAGAGGGAGGCGACGGCACGTCTGCGAGAGAGCGAACACAGACGAAATGCCAGATCAGGACAAATTACATTGCATATTAATCTTTGGATTTTATCAAGGACCTTCAGACAAACCGAAGGGACTCAAGACCATATATGGCAGCAATACACCATGTAAGGGCGAATGGTTGATTCGTAGATTTGAAGGATAGACTCCGGCGAGAAAAATTTCCTGGCGTGGCACAGGAAGTCAACTTTACTTCCGGTGTACGAAGCTATTGACTCAGTGTATTTGTTCCATCTCAGGTCAGCAGTCATTGTGAGACCGAGCAGTCGCAAAGAGGTGCTCTCGTGGAGTTGAGCGTCAGACATTCTAATGGGGAGCAGGCATGGTTCTCTTTGGTGAGTAATAGAGAGCAGTTTTGTTTTTGAGGCATTAAAGTTAACTAGCCAATTCCTGCCCCAGTCCACAACCGATTGGAGGTCCTTTTCAAGACAAACGGCCAGGTTAGTTTTGTCGGCGACACTAGATTTGTTTTTGAGGCAGGAGTAAATAGTAGTGTCGTCCGCAGAGATGCCTACTTGGGAACCTATGACGTCAGGAAGATCGTTAATGAAGATAAGGAACAGAGTAGGGCCTAGGATAGAACCTTGGGGAACACCTGCGTTCGTGGGATAGGAGCTGGAAGAGAATTTGTTGGGAACGACCTTCAATACATGGTTTGACAGCAATGATTGTTAGCTTTTACCTATTCAATAGAGTAAAAAAAAATGCATATTTTACTTATGGTGATTCATAATTCGAATTCTTGTTCGAATTTATTATAAAGAAAATTTCGATTGAAATTATAAAAATTTTCCCTAAAACCATTTTTCAGTAAAACTGTTGGTGATCTTTCCAGTGATATGGGTTTCCTGCCTAAACTTTTTTGAACGTCAACTTCTTGAGTACCTGTCTATATTTCTGAGATGATGTACTATGTACACTATTTACCTTATTCGGACTATTGTCCTCATCTTTGTCGCCATATTTATTACAACGTTTCGGCCGTTGTAAACTTGAATGAATACATTATATGGGAACCAGTAATAAGGAGTGCCAGAGAAAACCGATAATAACAACAAAAATTGCAATATGAGCTCTGGTAAAAAAAAAGACATTAGGTTTATAATACCCAGAAATTCATACACAGATGTCCTCAAGGACACATGGCACAGTGGATAAAGGCATTGGTTAGATCTAGTGACAGGACCCAAAGGGTGTAAGTTCAATACTCGGTTAAGACAGTGGAGAAATTGTAGGAGGGAATTAACAGGAGATAAATGACAACTGATATCCATTAAAACGTGGCACGTGGAACTAGAATAGTCTACTCCAGTGAGCGAAATAAAAGGGTTAAGTTCGACACCACCTGAAGAAGGCCGGAGCGTACAACAGCCGAAACGTTGTAATAAATATGGCGACAAAGATTAGGACAATAGTCTTAATAATGTAAATAGTGTCAACATCTTGATTGTGTCGTTATTTTCTCTACAACATGTGCTGTTCATTTTAATTTTTGCTTTTGTTTAAAGTTGTTTTCTCAAGTGATGTGGATTCTGTTATTTGGTACAGTTCTTTGCTTGTGATTGTGTAGCGCCAGTCCCCAAAGCCGAAAGATGGATCGTCCTCGCTAAGACGTACCGACTTCACTCGTTCGAAACCATTTTTAATCATTGAGCTGAGGAAGCATTTGTATAGACTGAGAATTTAGATACTTCTGACCGGGTTTGGTGCCATGCATGGCATCCATATGAAAATATTTCGATCTCACGAGCGATTTAAGAAAATGTCTCGAGTTTTTAGTGTGATATTTTGGTTTTGTAGAAACTTGTGGTATTGGGCGAGACTACCTCTCAGTCAGCTATGCGCTATGTGTGATACACGCGTAGGCGATCATGAATTATTCGATACATGAATGCCGAGGCGGATTTTTCCCGTAGTAGGTTTCCATTTCTTTCTGCAGTAGACCAGTTGTCATCCAAGAAGAGAACACGATCTGTCCTGCTATTTACCCATAGGTGGGGAAAAAAAGAAGAGGATTCATACCTTTCCCAAGAATATTTGCGCGTGAGTGAATAACAGTTACTTGCTTGGGGTGTTGTGCTAAAATTTCGCTTTCACTGATCAAAGAACCAGTACTACTGTTAAATGAAATTTTTAAAATTTTTAAATCTTTCTTTCAAAACACTTTTTTCTTTAGGAAAATAGGTTTCTCATGTCCAGTAACTGTTATCGCTCTTTCCAGTAATGACGTGGGTTATTTTTCTAGGTTCTAGTTTGAAGTAGAACAGAACGTCAACATCTTGATTATGTCATCTCTCTTCGAATTACATGTGATATCAATTTTTGCTGTAGGTACTTTTTGAATTGATACAGTTCCTGTTATTTGGTTCCGTATCGTCAGTCTACAAGTTTCGGAGGATTGTCTTTTCCAAGACATACAAGCTTCACTCGCTCGGAGCCATTTTGATTATTGGGCTGGGAAAACGGCTGTATACAGTTCATGGCAGTTCGGACATTTCTGACGCAATGCTTGACATCCATATGAAAGTCTTTCGATCTGACAAAGCGAATTAAGAAAATGACTCGAGTTTTCAGGCTAACCTTTTGGTTTTGTAGCAACTTTCGGCGTTGAGCGAGACTACATCTCACTCAGTTATGTGCCATGTGTGATACACGCTTAGGCGATCATGTATCTTTCGATACATGACTGACGAGGCAGATTTTTTTTTCCCCCACAGTAGGTTGTCATTTCTTTCTGCAGTAGACCAGTTACTATCCAAAGCTACAGAACCAAGGTTTGAACAGGTGGATGACAGAACGTGGTCTGGGGGAGGTGGCAGAGGGAAGGAGCTTGTTGAGAGCTGCAAAGGATAGAGGAGGTGGAGAACCATGATCGCCTACGTCCTGAAATGACATGGCACATAAAAAGAAAGAAGGATCTAAACCCCAAAACAAACTAGTTTTGAAATCTGAGAGTTATTCCTTCTAAACTGGTTTCCAACAAAAGCAACTAAGAAAAGAAAAGCAGTCTGTAATGTTACCCTTCCCTATTATTGTACTGCTATTAACCCCTTGTATGGGGTAGAAGAGATGGTACCTTGATACTGATCCCCGTCCTCTATATTCCTTCCTCAAACACCCTC